AATGATTGATCAGCTGGCAGTGTGAGAAACCTGGCATAGATCGGTGATTAAAATTTCGATAACTGAAATTTAAATTAATTTTAATCTGTTGAAGAAAACAAAAAAATTTAGATGATACAGGAAAACATCTGTGTGGCTTCCTTTTTGTTTCTTTTTATTTTAATTTTTTGAAGTTGAAAAGAACAGATAGAATTTTATTTAGAATCAATAAACCTTAGACGTTTTTTCTGGTTTGTTTATGTTTTCAGCTCTGTGAAACAGTGCCAAAGTGCTTTTTCTTTTCCCTCTCCCCACTAAAGGCATATAAATGTTTTTGTCCCTGTAATGTCGGTTGTCATTGCTGGTATTTCTTTGTTGGTTACCTGTAACGAAGAAAAAGGTGACATAGCTAAAGCACCAATAAATAGTTTCAGTTCTTCCGGTTGTTTTAATTTTTGTTTTTAGGTGAGGGGGAAGGGAAGGGGGGAACTTTTCATATCGGAAAATTACTTTGAATACTAGCGAAAAAATTGAGAAAAGTGATCAAACAAAGTAGATTTTATTGATGACGTTTTTTTTCTGCTTGATTAGTTCTTGACAACTTGGAGCAATTAGATTAATTTTAGTTTTATATTTTGTCGAGCTGATAGTTCTTTTTTTTTTTTTCTTTTTTGCTGAGGGAGAGAGAAAGGGTTCAGATAGTTTAGCCAGCTTTCCAGTAAGCAAACTTAGTGCCTACTGATGTTCTTTTTTTGTGGTCAGCAATGCCACGTTGTTGCGTTTTTTTTCCGCTTATTATATTATTAGAAAACAAAAAAAAATTCCTTTTTTTTTCTTGGGGGGGAAGAGGGGAGGGAAGAATATTGGGAAAAAAATGTTTGCAATAATAACAATAATTCGTAAACATCTTATAATATTATTAAGTTTTTTCCAGGGTTTCTTTCTTCGTAAGGTCAGCGTTACCGGTTTATTAGATTAATTTAAGCTTTAAAAGTGTTAGCACAGTAGCTGATCATCAAAGAGCAGACAGATGAGAATTTGGTAATAACAGCTAATGGTGCAACTACATCATATGTTAGATTAATAACCAGTCTATGTTTTTTTCTTTTTAGGCAAGAAGATTAGTCTCGTTCTTTTTTTTTACACCTCTACTTTTTATCCAGTCGATGAAGTCGGTTTAGTTGGCTAGTATGGAGGTTTTATGCATACTTTTTTTTTTTGTCATTGATACATGTTAATGTCACTTTATTGCCAAAGGTATGGGACATTTAGACTTATATGATTGAACATTGCTGTGTTGGTAATATTTTTTCCACAGAGGTTTTATCTGCCTAATTTATTCATTAGTATATGCATCAAGAATTTTTTCTTTTTCTGAAATACAATTATGTAGCATATAATTTTTTTCTGGAATTAGCGACTAATTTCTGCAACCAGACGTCGTCGCTTTTTGAGACATTTTTGTGCAAATTTTTGAACAGCATTAGCGGATATCGTCAAGCCTAGACAATAATTTTTTTTTCCAATATTTATTGCTTTGTCTCCATCCACATACAACTTTTTTTGCGTCTTTATTTTATTTAGTTAATTAATTAATTATTTATTTGTTTATCTACCTATTTGTCTATCTATCTATCCGTCTATCTATCTCTCTATCTAATTATTTTTCTTCCTGTTACAAGTAACACTTTTTATACTAAAGAATATTCAATTTTTTAGGTTGATAAGAAGGATAGTTCGTTCTTAATTGAACGAAGGTACATTTAACTCTTTACTGCTTTTATGATTTATCTCAGCTAAAAAGTTAGATTTACTTAGACCTCTGCTGTTTCTTAAGGCTTTCGCTAATGCAGTGAACGCAGTGAACGTAGAGGTTTTCTTTTCATGTCTGCTTAAATAAAAGAATTCTTCATAGGAGTGATTTCGTGATAGTCTAGACGTAAACTAGTTATGGAAAAGCCTAGATTAAAGTCTGGTAGGTGCAGAGCGTAAAAGAACACCGTGCTATTAGCTAATATTGTTGTTGAACTTAGGTAGGCGACTACTTCGGCATCATTTAGAAACTTTAGATTCGCTGTAGGATTACTTCCCCGTTGTCACTGTGAAAGGGATCATTCTTTGCTGGAGAAGTATTTTTTGAATTTTTGAAAAGCGCAAAAAAGATTTATTGAACTAAAAATTGTTTAGGGCATCAAAGATGAGTTATTTCTAAAATCTTTTATCAGTCGATATTAGGTGACCTAAAGAATCTGAAAATTACGTTTCAAAGCTGGATTAATGAGTGCTGAAATCTACTGAAGCTGTATGTTATTATTGATATCTATAGACAGTACAGTCTCATCATGAAAACCGGAGAAAATACTTTTTTTAGCAAAGCAGATCTTCCGTGAGGAACCTGAAATTGAATGGAAACGGGAAAACTAAAAGGTGTTGAACGCGTATGACTTTTTGCTTATTAAATGATAATTAAGATAGTAAGCTTTCTCAAAACTTAGTTAAGGAGGAGTTTTAAGTAGCAAGCCGTGTTGATTGTCAACAAATTGCATTTGAGAAAATCGAAAGGAGAGAAGTTATTTTTAGAATAAAAACTAAGTTTTGATATGTAAATGTAAATTAATTTTAATTCTTATTTAAATTTTTTATTATCACTGTAAACAAGGTGCTGTGGTGATTAGCTGGGACTTTTGTTTAAGTATAAGGCTCAATTAATCAGCAAATTTTTAATGCAGATGCAGTGAGGGCGTATGAAATGTTTGATGAAAGCTGAAAGCGAAACACGATGAATTCAAGCTTCTTTTTCTGTAGACTTTAAAAACATTGAGGCGTTAGCATAGAAATAATGATATGTCTGATAAAAAATGATAAAAATTTATATGCTCAAATATGGATTATTTCATCTATTGTTTCTACAAAAGAATATATTCAGTATGACAATTACAGGCAAGCAATTGGTCATCATTTTGTCTATTTATTTTTTCTTTTGTGTGTGTGGAAACACTCGAGTAAAAGTCGATTAACTTCCAAAATCTGTTTAAATCGGATTAAGAACACAAAGAAAGTTTTAGCGACAAATATGCATAAAAGCAGAAGAATTTTATAGAAAGAGATAATTTTGAAAAGAACCATTAAAATAAAAAAAGCCAAAAATTTAAAAAGTACAACTGTTAAATTTGTGACAGGCTAAACGGTTACTGTAAAAAAGAGAAATAGCTATAAAAAGAATTCCATTTAACTAAGCATAAATGTAAAGTTCTGTGTCCTATCAGGTATTTTTTAACATTTTCGGAAAAATAATTGTTCTGGTGGAACTGCTAACTTTGAAATGTCAACATTTTTGTAACTCATCCGACAGATACTGGTATTTTGAATATATGTGGCAAGTTTGAGGAACTTCAACAATTCACATTATATAGACTAACTCCAAATCTACTGAGGGAGAGGGGTGAGAGGTAAAGGAACTATTGATGAGTACATACATAAACATGAACTTTTTGAACCGGAAACATTTAACTGTTATCTAACTTTTTTTTATTTAACCTTTAATTATTCCTGGAAGTTCACTTCTGTCGAAGTGCATACGTCCTCGGAAAAAGAATTTCTTTCTTATATTTTTAATGTAAGTAAGCAGTTGTTTTTTTTTTAAATATCTTGAATTTATTAAGTAAGCAATTTATTAAGCTATTACTCGGTAGGTATTAAAGCATTCGAACCTCACTTGTCTGGAAACTATCCGTCATCACCTAACCGATGCATTGTCATCCGCTAAGACGAGAGGGTCTTCCGCTGAAAATAATCTACACACTCCAAACTGAATCATGAATAATGTTTGAGGTAAACGCGGAAAACTACTGTCAAGCATAATGGATTTATTACGTTATTTTCTCCAATGTTACTCTGACTTTGGATTTGCAAATGTTTTTATCATGTAAAAGACCTGTATCTTCAACTAAAAGAATTTTCTGCTAGAAAGAAAAAAGTTTTAGAGCATTTGTCTTAAATTTTTTTCTTCTATTTTTACCGGCCATTATTCCACATGTTTCTTATTTTTTGGTAAAAACTAAAGAAGTTGACATTTTCCAAGTTACTTCAGGACTATTAGCTCAGATGAGGGACTATAACAATTCTAAAAAAGCCTTTGCCGGTGTGGTTGAAAACTGGCGAATGAGTAGAAAATTATACGACGAAAAAGCGTGACTTTTGACTTGATTCGCGCTGTATAAGAAACCATTTGTTTTTTAAAATTCCAATCAGCTTTCAAGCGGGAGCCGTTTTACTATGTTCAAGGAATCTGAAAAAGTCAAGAGGTATGTCGCAATTGTGAGTTACTCCTCACAGTACACTATACTGCACATACTCCACAAGTCTACACGGGTCAGAAAGACATTTATGCGGTTTTTTTTAACAAGAGTGCAATGCCAAGTAGTACAGTTTCCAGAAAGTTCAGAAAAAAGTCAGTATTTCAAAATAAACTGACGTTCATTAGCACTGCTCTAGGCTTTACTTGTTCCACACGTCTGTTTTCAAAATTTGGTGGTTTGTAACTGAAAAACTTCTTGAAGAATCCTTACAGTTGACACCAATTTCGCTTCTTGTTAAAAGCTTTTATCATTTTACGTATCTGCACTGCTCTAAATAGGTCACATAAAGCTGGTTTCCATCAGTATGTTCGAATGCCACAAATTCGGAAGAATGTTACAGACATGGGTAGAAGTCACTTGAGTGCCATGATAAGATAGTGATTGAAGGTTGGCAAGATGGCACATGCTTAAGTAAATAAAGCTGAAAAGAAAAGAGAGGATGAAAAATGCAGAAGAAGCAAACAGCATCAGGTCATAAAAATAGAAATCTTGAAAAAACATCGGCATCAAGACAACAGGCACAGTTACCAATAGAGCGCACTCTTAAGGTCCCCAAAAAATTAGAGCGCTACCTGTCTGTAAGGCATGGCTTCGAGCCGCTCAAAGTAAGTGATCGAGCTTGCCTGGTACCATTGAAGCACTCTCTTAAAAAGGGTCTTGCTTAAGTTTTTAATCAGTTTTTTCTCTGAAAGATCTTGAGAATCACCGCTATACGACAGCAAGGGAAATAACATGGAACGTCATTTCCGGAAGTGATGAATGCCGAAATTTTAACACTGAATTTTACTAAAATATCTAGCACTGCTTTTTGCTAGGCGAAACCAGAAAGTTTATTTTCCTTTTTCATAAACAGATAAGGTTTCTTGGAGAAAATCAAAAGAAAAGTTGAACGAGACCACAGTCCAAAACTATTAAAATCGCGAAACGATTCGTTGTTATGTATCTCAAAATACTGGAATACTTCACTTATTTCTTGGTTAATTTTTACGCTTAAATGAAAGTGTAAAACCAGAGAAAGACCAAACCAATCTTTACTTAATGAACAAATATTGTAAGACTACATTCTGATTCTCAGGTTAAGACAGCAAGTATGGTCTGGCTTCAAAAGTTTGACGCAAAAATCCACCTACAACTGATAAATTTTACTGGATTTTGGTCGTGTTTTATTTCATATCCTTTTACAGTTTCTGTACAAAGGTTTTTCCGTTCTGTCGACTTAATCGTTTTCAAGATTTGAAAAATCGTTTTCAAAAGCTCCCCTACTTCATCGCACAAGTGCCTGAAATGCAGGTTTCCTTGAAAAACTTAGTTTAGAAATCATGGATTTTTTTTTTAAACAAGGTGGTTCAGGAAATAATTTGGAAACTTAGCTCCTACGCTTGTCATGAAAAAAAGGCGTACAATTTTGAAACAAAAAATTACGCTATCTTCACTTGTCATTGAGCATCCCAAAATTTAGCATGCCAGAAGAAACTGTTTTTTTTTCTCAAACTTTTTTTATTCATTAATTATGGAGACTCAAAACGATGATATCGGAAGTTAATCCCTTTTAGATCATTATTAGTGGCAAACAGTTTCCGCCAAAATGATGACTTTTTAGAGAAGGGCTTATCAAAAAATTTACCTGACATTTCCTCAGTGTCCAGTCGATTTCTAACACTGGTATCAGCATGTAAGCAGCAGAAAAGACACAGAATGAATACCATTATACCGTTTCAGCTCTGAATAATACTTTGTTTTCAGTAGGAGGATATTTTTTGATGGCTCGATGGCCTCAGACATACTCAAAAATTGATGCATTTCACGTGCATTAGACGGGTACCATATAACAATACTGTTTTAGAAGTTCTGAAATGTTAAAAGGACGCTACAGTTTGGGAGACCATTAAAGACATGGTTTTGTTTTGTTTGTCACTTTATTAGGGAAAATAATTATTCTAAAATCTAGGACACTTTCGCTTATAAGGTCAGAAAAATTTAATGTCAGAGATTTAACTGTTTTTTTTTTTCTCAATTTAATTTTTCAAAAATCATTTTCTGTCTTTTCTTATATGAAAGCACAAAATATTTTCTTTCTGTTCTTTTTTTTTTTTTTTGAGGTCGGTACTGATTAATGTATTGTTCAAACATTTATTTGTAGTTGGACATTACCTGCTGTATTTCAATGCTTTGTTTTATCTTATCTCTTTTTCTTCTATATAACTATCATTAAACAAGGGGCTGGATCCATCTAAAGACCCTTTTTTTGTTATGACTCTAAAATACTCTAAAATACGCTATCAGTTTACACTTTAAAAAAAATTTATGAACTATATAACTAGAATTTAGGTTTATTGAGGTTTTCCTTTGGTACTGGCAGTAAACGTTTGATCAGGCGAAACTCTGCTGATCAAAAGAATTCCCTAAATAATTAAGATATAGCAAAATTTTACATTTATTTTTGGGTTCGATGGATTCTTTATGAGTTTTCTATTGAGAAAATTAAATACTGTCAGTACTGTCAACGCGGTATCCTATCTAAAGAATTGTTTTTTTATGAAGCTCGTTGGCGACAATGCGTTGGCCTCGTCGACGACGCTTCAAAAAACCGGAAAGTGAGTACTACCGTATCCGATATGTCACTGAAGATGTTAAACTTTCAACTCTTAAGGCGTTAGGAAGGGTACGATTATGAAGCAACATATGTTGTAAAAAAGCTATGAGTCTTTATCTTACGTGAAACCACTTATTTTCTTCCTTTTTATGTGGCAGTTATAAAAGACAAAGAACTGTGCATTTTCTTTTGCAGAAAGCCTTCAAGCAAAGCATAGTTGTGGAAGAAAAGATTGATGGGAATGAGTATTTAGAAGAATTTCGAAGGCTAGATCGAATTGCTAAAGGTGTAAGTTGCCTGTTGTTGGTTATTACAAAAGTCGGAATGCTTTCTTCAGAAAGCTGTGATAACTCAAATATAGAAATTATATATTCTATCTGCCAGACTTAAAAGATCAAACTCCTATTTAGCATGAAATTACTGATGTCTACCTTAACGTTTAACCACTTCCAATAAGCTGTTGAAGGTAACTTTTGTATGAAATTTAGAAGTATGACTATATTGCTAATGCCAGTTTGAAAGAAGAAATTTTACAAGTACAACTATTCTTCTGGACAATTTTCTTTGCTGGGCTTTATGTGTACGTCTGGCAACAAAATGGACGAAAATTTGCCGTTACACTTTTAACTATAGTTCCTCTTGGTAAGAACAGTTTGTCGTGTTTACTGTCTAACTTGTAGCTTCTTAATCTTCCTTCTCAAAAAAGATTGATTGAACACTTATAAGAAAGCAAGGACGTGAGATTAAAACTATCAAATGCTTAGGATGATCCAAGATTTCCGTTAATAGTTCTCACAAAAATTTTTTCAAAGAAAAAGTGATAGTTCTGTCGCGTCAAATGCAAGAATTTGGAGCTGTGGCTTCCATAGAGTACACGAGACCATAGGTTGCACAACTTTTACAGTTACGGAAGAAGCCAGTTCGTTGAAAGGAAAGTTTATTTAAAAGAGGAGTAGAAAGACGTCTAGTAGGAATATTCACACACACTTAGGAAACCACAGCGTCGTAAATTTGTTGTTTTTATACTATTACTGTTCCTGAATTTGGCGACTACAGTTTTTCTGAAAAATTGTTATATTTAGAAAACATTTTCTGCAAAGGTTTTTCTTAAATGTTCCCAATAAACCTCCACTTTACAGATTTTGAGAGCTTCTTTCTGCACTGCAAAGAAGTTTAGAAGAGTTAGATCGACATTCATAAGAAGCGTAATTGTTACAGAATTGCTAACTTAATAGTTATACTAGAGGGTTTCGTTAGGGCCAAGATAAAGAAATTTTATTGGTGCTTGAAGAAGTCCCTTTAGTGACTACCGAGTTAACAAGTCCATAACATTTGCAAGGTTTGTTGCTAGCAGATACAGCAGTTTTGTAATGACAAACTGTTTTTATTATTATTACTTTATATAAAACTGTTTTTTGAATACTCAATTAGAGTCTTTTTTACGTCGTTTTATAAGACACCTTTTTCAGCTTTCTATGTTGCCTTTATCGCTTCATTTTGGCTAATAGTTGCTGTATTAATCGGTCACTGGTTCGGTGTTGCTCAGAATACATCTGGATTTCGCCGATACGGCCAAGATCCTGCCATTGGTAAGCGTTATAATTATTCTTGTGGTCTTATGCTTTCTTTCTTTTTGAACTAAGTTCCAGTCTTGACTGCAACGTCTTTTACAGAACAGTTCCCGTATCGTGTCATTCGTCCTTCACGAAAACGCTCCAGTTCATCTGAGAGTTCGTTAGGTGCAGATATTGTGGCAATAAAAATGCCTGCACCAGAAAAACTACAAGGTTAGTTGCATGTGAGATATTGCGTTTCAATGAAGTTATATGAAGCAAATGTTCCTCTTTATTCCGAGTATTTCCAATATTTGAAAAGTAGTAGTTAAACATATATACCCCTTGAAACGATTAAATTTTTAATTAAATTAAAGCCTTATTTTTTCTTTTTGCCATTGGTGCAATCTTGAGGAGAAAAGTCTTCATTTTGCATTCCTAAACTTCGATATTTATATTTCTAATTCAGAGTAGTTGAAAGTTTCATATTACAAAAAACTTCAGAAGGATAACGGAAAAATAAAATTTAAAATTTTCTTTTTAATCGTATAGAAAACTTGAACGTCGCCAATAGCCTTTTAAGGTTGTCTACTAAAAATCACCAGCCTAAATTTTTAGCTTATATTGATGCTGGGATATCACCTGCCATTGGCCATAACAAATTACTTTGATACTGTTCCACTGAAACGGTCTCGCTAATTAAATTATTTAATTTTGTATACATAATGTGCGATTATCTACAAGTTTGATACAATCTAACAACATTATGGATTCCTATCATTTAAAAGTGATATCTGTGTAACTTCTTTATCTTTCTATATCGTTCAACTTTATTAAAGCACTCAAAACTTCACGGCCGTCGTCAGTACTGCTGCTTAATTTGTAGTTTCAACCTGATAAGCTGTAATTTTAATTATATCTTTATTTGTTTAATGTATAAAATTATTCTCAACTTTAAAAACAAGTTAGTTTTAATAAAAATTAAAAAAGTGTGAAAAAACGATTGACATTATTTTGCAATGAACAGTTTAACAGAAAAAATACCGTGAGAAAGATGGATCAGCAACAAATTATTTAACTTTTATTTTGCTCCATCTCGTTTTTTTTTTCCACTTATTTCAATTCGCCTCTAGAGAGGTCTGTTTACAGAATTGTCTCAATATCCTGCAGAAATCCGGAAAGTGATTGTTGTCATTTTCAGTGTCTTTGTTACAAATTTTGCCCTGCTAAAAGTGAAGAAGACACTTTTAAACACTTCTATACTAGTTTCTTAAAAGCAAACAGACAAAAATAAACAGTTGTGTAAACTGGATAAAAATGACGACGACACCATTAACTAATTCGTCAAATAAATCCATTTGTGGCTAACCAAGCAAGATACGTAAATCGTTAAATAATTTCGTGCAGATCAATTGTACATAATTTTATTTACATCCCCAAGCGTCGCACCTTCAAAATTCTAAGTTAAACCGCACTTTTTATTCACCTCAACTTTTTAAATGGTTTTTAAATTAAAAAAAAAAAACAATGAAAAAGGACGCTTACAGTTGAGTGGAACTCCATACTCTATCGCAGGAATGCAAAGGTGATGTCAAACGAGTAAACAAATATGTGGCCGGAACTCCACAAAAGACTCAGTCGCTGACAAAAACTGGAGGGATCAGACATTTTTTTTAAAATATAGTTTTGCAAGCCCTATCTATCCGGAATGTGTCTTGGCTAACTGACAGTAATTATTAAAATTGAAGGTCAATTGCTATAAATGTGTCAGCAATCAAATTCCGAATTTCTGTAGGACACTGATTTCCTTCCGCTATGTCCTATTAAGTCTTCGTTTCCTCATTGACTTTTACTGTGCCCGCATTTAGCCTCTACGTTTCACAGTACTGAACAGTAGCTCTTCTTATTCCACCTTTATAAGCTTTTGAGATCTCAGGCCGCAAGTCTTATATCTCTTACAGAGGATAATGAACCAATGACTACTTTAACACTTAAACTTGATTCCTTATTTGCTGATATCTAACTCTTGCCTTAGTGTGCGACAAAAGATCGATACTTAGCTATTTATGTGTCCATTTATATCCACAACTACGGAGTGCCTAAGAATCAACCGGAAGGTAATATAGCGAAAAGAACTGGTAAACACATTGCAAACTAACTTAAAAAAGGAATATAACGAAAATACACCTCGAATTGAAATAAAAATTCAGTAAACAAAGACAAAGCTTCCTACTTGGCAAAATTAAAGTGATCTCCAGCAAAAGTGATCTCTTCACTTAATGAGACGTTAAAAATGATATCAATCACCAAAATTAGAAAGCAATCGATACGATTAAAGCCGGGTCTCGATTCAATCGATCATTAACTATTGTAATAAATATCCTATCCTTTTATAGCTTTTGACCCTTGATCTCTTTTTTTTTAACCAATTCCACCGCTTCTCCCAAAGCTTCTTCTCGACGGGGTTACAGTGACATTAGACCAGTCTCTAAGCCCAAGCCTGGCACTCTTCCCAAAGCTTCCTTTCGAGGAGTCTACAGTGGCTTTGGACTATTTGCTTTTGGCTTTCACGCACATTCGCGACAGCCACAAACTTTTACTGGATATTTCAAGAAGAAGAAAGTCTGAGCAAGAAACTTTAGTTCAGCCGAGTCGATTGAGGGAAGACGACATGAACAGTTCAAAGATTTAGCAAACAGCTCAGAAATAAGGAAATATCAAAACTTAAAATTTATGTACAATTAAGAGTCCTTAATGATTCATCATGTGTCTTCCTTTTTCTGGTGAGATTTAAGCATTAAATGGCTTCTTTTAAAAAGTCTTTACGCATGACTTCCGATTGGCATTATTTATGCAGGTAGATCAACCCAATACTGCCACTAATTTTAATCAAATAGATCACTCAAGCCGCGGAAATAAGTGATTTTAAAAAATTAGAAGTGTATACTAATTGTTCTTGTACGACTTCCGCCTATTCAGAAATACGTTTTCCGTAATTTAGAATCATATAAGGATGGATCACCTGACCGTACCAAGACTAGCTATGACATTAGCTATAGCTACTAGGGCAGCATTGTGTTACTTCTGAATGTCATGGCGATAATGTGCACTGTCATTCGAAATCTGTCAGTATTCTAATAAAAATCAACAAATTTTTAGGTAGCGACATTCAGAAATGTAACTTGTCAATAATAGTTTCCTGCATAGATTAAAATAACTAGGGCTTAGCGGAATCCTGCACAACAGTGCCTAACAGTCTAAAAAAAGTTAACTCGATGACAACAAAGTTATGTGAACCAAGGATTGAAGACGGATAGCAAATTCAGTTGTATGAAAGGTTGACAAATTAGGATTGTGACTTTCGAAAACAGAATTTTTGTTCAAAGTTTTCAAATTTCTTCTCACTTTTTTGATGATATCAATATAGCTGAGGAAATTAGAAACCAATCCTCAAAAAACTTTGAATTCAGCAGTGATAATAGAAAGCTTAGCAAGCTGAATTGACGACTTACAGAAAGAAGACCGAATTTTGAACAAAGATAATGTATATAAAAAAATATCCATGAGGGTTGGCTACGAAAAAGACAAGATAAAAAAATGAAACAGTAGAAAGACTGAAACAAATCTAGTGCCAACGTAAAAAAGTTGCAGTTTCATTCAGCAGCTTTAGTTCAGCTGGTAAAGGGAAAGGGAGGAGCACACTTCGCTACACTGCAACATCTATATTTTATTTCCACTCTCCTTTCTCCTATCTCCTTTACAAAAAATTCACTTCTACTTCTTACTTGGATAAATTATCCTTTTGACCGTTTTCCCAATTCAAGTAATCTTTAGCTGTAAACATAACTTGATTGTTTACCAGCTTATGCAATTCATTACTTCTGATCCGAACACCCAAACAAAAGTATTTGACGTGCATTTTTATAAATAGAAAATAATACTCTCCAGTTCTGACAATTTACTGGAAAGCTGAAGAAATAAAGCTTATTTTATACAACTACGTGGAGTTTACAGGTATGAGGACTGGAATTAACACCATCCTAAACAAGTGTACAAACCTGTCTGCTGCCTCTAGTTCCCTCACCCACGTACCTTGACAAATAGCAGTTAAGAAGACCTTGCTTGAGAAAAGATCGCATAACTGGGTGAAAATAAACTTTTCTGAGCAGTTAATGTTGGGAAACCTTTATGAGCAAAACTTACATTCACATAAAATTTCACTTAAAAGTGCGAAGAGCCGTTACATTTGTCATCGTTATCACTTGAAGACAGCAAAATCCATAGAACAAAATTACAGTACCTTTTTTTCCTTGCTTCAATGTCAGGTTCAGTAATATCTGGCCTACTAATAAACATGAAAATGGTGTAGGTGGCTGTCAAAAAAAGATAACGTTCTGAAGTCAAAATGGAGAAAAATGAGTATTTTTGCTCCACATCTCAAAGTATCGTTTTTAAAGCAAAAATTATTGTGTACTCAAAATTTTAAAGACCATTTACTGTAGTTTGAGTGAATACTTAGTCTTTTACTAACAAGGAATTGACAAAATCAGTTAAAAATTATTTCTTTACATCAGCAGACAGTAATCAAAGTTCCAGATAATTCCTCAATTAATTACTCAATGAAATTTTACTTCAAATTGAAAGTGTACTTTCGTTAAATTACATCTGTTCACTTTAATATTATGTTATTAGTATCGGTATTATAAGAAGTATAACAGTGTAATCCGCTTATTTTCAATGCTTCATTCAATTATTTCATGCTGAAGACGAGTTTTGAGATTTGCACTGAAGATTATGGCAGTAAAATGAAAAATCAGAAGATCTATTTCTAGTAGTATTTATAATAAGAATTCACCACAATTTGCGAAGAAATAATGCATTAATGTAGAAAACCAATTAAAATCTCCAAAATTTCAGATTTACGTACACACCTCGCTTTCGCACTTATAATTTAATATTGGTATTCGTTGGCTAAAACTGAAATACGGTATCTAACTCTAAAATTAGAAAAGAAAAAATATTAGACCATAAAAGAATCTGTCTACTTTTAAAGATATATTACACAGAACTACTGATTTTCAAATTCAACTTCACCTGACGATAACCATTGCCGTATCGATCATCGTCGCAACGACAATAAGATGCAGCAGCAGCAATAATACCAGCAGCAACGGCATCAGTGTCTGTGGTTGGAAATTAAACACTGCGATGGCAGTCTGCCAAGCAGAGAATTACTGCAGTTTGCGTAAGTGAAAGAGGCGATATGCGGAGTTCAAATCACCGGCGATGATGAGAACCCACTGAACTGCTTAATGTTGGTCGAACGATGTTGGGGAGGTAAAAACTTCTGTGTGCTTTTTCTTTTTCTGTCTTTCAAGTTATTGACAGATTCACGGTGTTAAATCGTCTAATTGGGGGGTTTTTAATTTTCAGTAAAGTTATACAGTGGTGTTGTGTAAATGCTTTATATTTCTTTCTTCCACTAATATTTTAGTTTCGTCGTTTGTTAGTTTCTGCTGGTAAATCAAAGTTGTTTTTTCGTTTCTCATGCAGATCTTTCCAGACGGAAATGAGAAAAAAGTTTTTGTAAAAATTATTAGAAATATTGGAAGTTAATACAGTAAATTTAAAAGAGGTAAAAATTTGGTTGAATAAAAGTTTCCATATGGTAACGTTCCTGCAAATTCTTTTAGTTCAATAAGTATCATTCACAAACCGTTCTGTAAAGCATTGGTTTTTTTTATTATTTTTTTCTTTTTTTCTTGATTGTTATTGTTAGTTTGGTTGTTGAAGTATGAAACATCTGTAAGTGCTGTTCTGTTGAAAGATTTTTTTTATTTTTGGTTCATTTTCCTTGCAAAACAATTGCTTAGGTCCAAGAAATTTTTTGCTTGCTGATCGGTAACTCTGCTGTATCTGATTTGGTGGTATTGTTGCCATTGAGTAAGTTTTTATAATAACTGTTGTAGTTCCAGGCGTTTTTTTTTTTTTTTTTTAGATTTTACTTTTTCGTTCTTTCTTATCTTATTTCTTTTCCTCTTTCATCTTTTCTTGTTGACAGCGTTTAGGGTAGTTTGGAAAACAAATTCCTGATTTATATGCTTTTGTTTTGTGGCTGTGTATACTTTTCTGACCGTTTTATATTGAAACAAGTTTAGTTTTGGTTTTCTGTGGTATTTATCAATTTTACTTTATTATTACTGCCATGGTTGTTATTACTGTTATTATCATTATTATTATTACTAACATTTTTACACTGCTTTAATTTTACTGCAGATTTCGTCCGCTACCAACAACTGCGCTGTGTAAATGCTTTATTTAATTTGGCTAATTAATAAATTAATTTTTTTGGTTCAGCTATACAAAGTGGATTAAATGTTTATTGTTATTACTGTTCTTGTAGGACCGTAGATTTAGACTCAGGTATGTCATACGTGTTTTCACTTCACCAGTTAAAATCTGCTTGTAAAGAATGAGTTCCATGATGCAGCGGTACATATTTAACGAGATATTTGGGTTACAATTTTGGAGCAGAACGCTAAACATGGGAGGTGGTGATGGTGGTAGTGTCTTTTGGAGGCGTGCCGCGAGATTGACGCGACGCGTTCATATTCTTCTTTCTTGTTATTTAAACTTCTACATTATTCCTACCTCTTTCCAAGTTTTATTTTGTTTTTTATTTCAGATACTTGTATTATATTATCTATACTGCATTTTAAAATTTTTAAGCTTAGTTCTGCCACAGTTATGACTGCCGCAACTGCTACTGAAACTGCTGATTTCAATCTTCTTACGTATAACCCTGAAACGGGCTTACTTGATGTAAGTTTATAATTTTTTAGTTCGTACTTCTTATTTGCTGTTAAATATCGATGGCAAAATTGTAAGTATATAGCACTCTAAGTTTGTATTCCAATGTTTCCGCTCAGAAAATTTCTTTGACTTTTTTTCTAAACTTTCAACTTGACTTATGTCTTAGGGAATTGCTTGTTGCAAATAATTTTTTATTTGTTCAATTTACCTAATAAGTCTATATATTCTGATTGACATTCATCTCTTTGTGGTAAATCTTCTTGTTCTCGATCTCTAGTTTCACTAATTTTCGTGTTCAGTGCTTATTAGCTTTAAGCGATTGCAGTTCAACACTGCTTTTGAATTGCTTTTCTCGAAGAATTTTTTCTTCATACTTCCTTTAGCTGCAGAAATGTGTGAAATGCTGCGCAACCTTATTAGCAACAGATTCGGCTACAAAACTGTCAAGATAAAATGCAGTGCACGTACAGAGTAGCCAGTTTATTTGTTATATTATATATATTTAGCAGCCGTTTCCTTTGTCAGTGTTAGGCCATCGTATCTTCCATTCTTAAAGCATCTTATTTTTTAGGGTTTTAGGTTGCTGTGGGACTACAGCAGTTTATGAAGCTTTCTTCTAGATCTTTTTTAGAGCATGTTGGATCCTTGTTAATTTTTATAATTTGTTTTTAAGATGCTACATAATGTAGTTCTTATATCTTTTAGGGTTTCAAAAGATGGTTATTGTAGGCTATAGATGCTTTGACTTCCTGTGGTTCGCCGAATGGAAAGAGCAAGAAAAGGTGGAAGCCTCCTAGTCGTTGGAAATCTGTGAATTCCCAGTACTGCAACGCGTGTAAGGTAATTTCTGATTTTTTTGGCTACAGTTTCTACTCTTTTGTTGCTTATCTTTTTTTTTTCCTAATTAAGTGTCCTTATCGGTTCTGATTGACCAGCTCTGTTATGTGCAACTATTTTTTAGTTCTAGGAGTTTAATAGCTACTTTCTTTGTCATTAGAAACAGGTTTCATGCTCATTTTTAAAAGCTCTTTCTTCCAGTACTTGATCATTTTAAGCTTTTTGCACTTGTTTTTTGGGGACTTTCTGATGCATTTACTTGTTCAGGTTTGTAAGGATGTTGCTATTTTATGTTTTGAACACCTATGGTGTTGTTTTCCAAGCTGCTGTATAGTGCAGTGTTTATTTGATATTGCTTACTTTCTGCACATCTTAACTTACTATTACTGATGTTTGAATATACAGTTATTAAGAATTCAGGAAGGCGGTGAACTTCTCTGCTGCGACAGATGTCCTTCCTCTTTTCATTTAATGTGCCATCAACCCCCAATTTCGAGGGACGCGATTCCAAGCGGTAAATGGCTATGCCATCGTTGTGTATATGTTACAGAAAATAGCGATACAAATACTAAAACAACAAAGAAAGAATTAAAAAATGCTTCTGTTAGTTTTTTGAAATTTTCGCATTTGTTGCTTTAAAAAGTCATTTGTTTTTTCCTTCGTAAAAGTTTGTAAAATGTTCGAGTAGTCATCTATCGTTTGCTAAAAACTGCTCATATCTTATCGTTTTCTGTCCGCGGTAAGGAAATTGAAAATACATTTTGATTGAGATTTATTCTCGCTTAGCCAAGTGATTTATGCTTCGCTTGGGTTAACTAAGAAGATAAGCGCCAATTCTTTTTCCTCCTAGGGAATCAAAATTTTGAACTTATTTCTTTGTCATTTGACAGATAAGTTGTCATATATATTTTTATACTTTTCTCAATTAAAATTTTTTTTGAGTATAAAGATGTATAAATCTTAGAAAGACGTTAGCTGCCTGTTTTATTTCAGACTGAAGAAGGAAGGAATGAAACTGTTATGAAGGATATCCTTGATGGATTTGAGGAGGGCGAAGACCCTTTAGCTGTTTTGGCTAATGCAGCCCTTGCTGCTAACTCAGAGCAGTTTACTTTGCCTTACACAATTAATAATGATGCTACTGTTTTACCATATGATCATAAGCATTCTGCTCATTTAAAACCTCGAGATCGGTGTAGCTTTTGCGCTACGTAAGTTCCCACTTAGTTAAAGATTTTGAGTAGTTTTTCACTTGTAGCTGTCTATAAATTTTTGTGTTTTGTTTAGCGGTGTTGGTAGTGGAACATTAATAAAGTGCGATTTTTGTTCCTTAGCATATCATTTGGATTGTTTACGACCTCCGTTAACCGTACCTCCTAAAGATAAATGGATGTGCCCTGCTCACATTGAACATTTTGTGGTAAATTTTTGGAATATAGACTAATTTCTTGAGTTTTGTTTTTATTCTTAAATATGTATACATTTGCTAAATTTCATACTTGAAAGGACTCGATTTTTTTTAAGGCTTACTTGTCTGTTACAGGATAAAAAGCTATTAACATCTGCTTCATTTACGGAAAGGATGCGTTTATGGAGGAAATTTGCTCGTCAAGAAGTTGACGAACAAACAGTTAAATTAGCGTTTTTTGCGAAGAATTTAGCGTATCGTCAGAACTGTCTACTGCAAAATCCGGGCATTGAGGTACTCACGTTTGTCTTGAAATTATTTGTAGTAAACGTCAACCTTTCATTCTTCTAATATTCAATTCATTCTTTTAAAATTGGATGCTTTAAGTTTGGTCGGAAGCAAGTACGGGTACCGAAAGCAGTTAAAGATTTATATCGGAAAAGATGGAAGTACTGGGAAGATGACGAGTTACCGTCGAGTGCTGAACAAGAGGAGTGGTTTGATGCCATCTTAAGATTGCAGAAAATGGAGGGATTGCTCGAATCTTCAAAAAGAAACGAAACTGAATCAGTCGAGTGCAAAGAAAATACCGCGAAATCTGAAGCCGGTGGAGAGAGTGGAATGGAAGGATGTTATGTGAATTTTCCAGAAACAACAATGAAAAAAGGTTATGGTGTGCAAAATGATTCTTGTAATGTAACTTGTGAGACTGGGAAGTCATCGAGAAACTGTGGCAACGATTGTCGTCATTACGAGGTTCTTTTCTGCTTCGTTTTCTATTGTCGAAATATTTGGAGGAACGGTGTTTTTTTAAGGATCTGTTAGTTGGAGATTTGGCTGCACGTATTCGGAATGAGTGTCTAAAAACCATGGAAGATTCTCGTGTCACTAAAGAGCATAGATTAATGGGTGCTTTAGCTTTTCAGCGACTGCAGCAGCTAGCTAACACGAAGAAAACATGTCCTGATGAGCTGAAGTTTGATAAAAGTTTGTCCTTTGTTATTTTCCTGGAAGAATTTTTTTTTGAACTAGTGTTTAATTCCTTTCAAGCGTTTGTTCTTAGGAGTACTAAGGCCCAATGTCCCAGTTCTAGCAGTGCTAAAAGCACCGGGGTGTGATGCATTTCCTATTCAAAGGTTGATTACAACTATTGGGACTAGCGAAAGATGTGATTTGAATTTGTTGTTTGCTTCTCCTTTATGTACCGCATTTGGAGTGCATCATGCAGACGTTGTGTTTGACAAGGTTCGCGTTAAGTGAGGCCAACTTTCACCTTCGATTCTATATGTTTTTGTTGGATTTGATTCCAACTACTGATTTTATTGTTTTTCATTAGTTCTTTGGTAAGGCTAGAAGGTAGTTCATTAAGTTGTTCGAGTTTTTTCAGATGCGTCGTCGATTTGAAATACATTACAAGCGGGGTGAAGCCGTTATAGTAGATGGTGTTTGTTATGCTGATAATGAGAACAGTAAGAAAAGTAACTGTGTTTGTTCAATAACTAATGATGCGTTTATTCGCGGAGCAGCTCCACTGCGGCATGGTAGCTGTATAAAAATCGGGTGTGCAAATTTTATCTTTGCCTCGTTTTTTTAAACGTTTTTGTTGTAAATGGCGATGGGCATCTAGACCTTTATTTTGGTATTTATGCACAAGAATTGTGATAATTATTGGTAGTGCCAAAGTTCCTGCTATAACGTAGATTTAATGTAGGTGTGCCTTCTTATATGTTTTGTTTTGCAGTATTATCTTTTTTGTAATTGCTAATTATTCGTGCCTGTCATAAAAGAGCGTCAAAATAAGAACACTTTCCTGATTACAAACGAAAAATAAATCTCACGTTTTTGGTGAATTGTCTATATTATTTTATGATCCTGCATTATAATTTACTGTTTTTCCAATTTAGTTATTAATCTACGGGTTTTTCGAGCTTATTCTGAGTAAAAGTTTTAGGATTTGCAAAAAAGTGCCGATGAGCTCGATTTTTTTTTTTGTATATCCGGTAGCGTGTTTTTGCATGTTTTTATTTTCAGTACATCTCTGGTTTCATATGCATATTTGTTCATATGTTTTCTGTGTACTATTTCGCATCAGCAGCACTGTTTGTATATTTGTCCGTATAATTGCCTTAAATTGTTCAATTGCATCTCATGTTGTTGCTAGAATTTTTTGTATTAAAGTGTTCTGTGGTTTTTTTAAAGTCTCCAGGATTGCTGGTTGGCTTTGACCGTCGCTCATGAAATGGTACCCGTCACACTAAATAATATCAGAGTTAGAAGAAGGGAGGATTGTAAGTTTTGAAACAGCTCCTCTAGTAAAGTCTTGTCCTCTCAGGTGGACTTCTAAACTTGGTCTTTTCGTATGCTTGTTTTACCTACCTTTTGGTCTGTACTTGTATTTTATTTGTCGGGGGATTATTTGTCACATCCCTTCCTTTTCTCTAATTGTTGCAAAGCTTTAAATTTTTTAGGAGCGGGCGACAGGTGATTTCGTTAAGTCCGGGGTTCACTCCAGCATGGTTTTTAGGTTTTACGGGTCTGAAAATTCGTTTTGAGTTTGTGCTTTGTTGAGAGCGCGAAACAAAAAAGCTAGTTCAGCTACAAAGATTTTTTTAGAAGTGCTTGAGTTTGAAGAGAGGCTCTCTGATTTGTGGAGGGTTGAACGTGAGACATTGTTTGGTGTTCCCGGTGATCTGTAGGCAACAAAAAGTTTTTTTTTTGGTGCCAGGTTTTTGGCTGTTCTTTTTTTTTAAGCTATTGTCTAATTATTTATTTGTCAGGCAATACAAATGGGTTAGTTTGATTGTCAAAATGGTGAACGATAGGAAAATAAGAAATCACTTTATTCATTTGTTAGAAACAGCTTGATAAAAGGAGGGAGCAGAAATGAGATATAATGCCTGCTTTGGGCTGTTTTGAGGACATCTTTTGTTACATTCTCTTCAAATGTTCTTAGTGTTTTTTTTTATTTCCTTTTGTTTCCGTTTCCATTTTTTACTTCTTAGTTCTTATTTTTTTTTTTCACTTTTATTTCTTTCAAAGGTCAACTTTTCATCTAATGGTAGTGTAAGAGGACTATATGGATGTTTTAATATATATAAATATATATAAATATATAAATATA